GATCGCCAACTCAAATTCATGGAATAAATACGGTACAATCAGTATATACTGACGTCGATTACTTGAAATACGTGGTCTCAAAAATTCATGGTGGTTAGTGTGGTTGTCTGTCTGTTCTTTTGGCGGGAAGAGCGGGACTAGACTCCGGTTTCCCACTCTGCATTCATGGAGCGGCCGTCGAAGCTTACGACACATGCTCCCGCCGCTATGTTGACAACACCACAGAATTGACTGGATTAGAGATTCATTTGCGCCTATTTCTCATTTTAAAAAAATAGTAGCGCGAGCGTGCAAAGCATTGCATAGCCTGAATGCAAACTTCTGGTTGGGGAGTTTGTCGAGACATTCGAATAATTATTGGGTCAACCCAAGCGCTCTGCACGGGGGGGCACTTCCTTAGATGAGTTTTTGTTTAGAAATTCGCAATTCATCCTTACTTATTTGTTGTATTTTGATTTAATATTCATCACTGGACCTCTTTACTAATTTTTAATTTGCTTAGTTCTTTGTAATTTTTATCTAGACTATCTGCCTAACTTCTGCATACTACGCCCTCAATGGTCATTTTAGGCAGCTAGTACCAGACAATCGAAGAGCTGCTCTGAGCGGAGACACTCTTCGTAAGCGAAACAGTTTCTACTTACAGCCGGCCATTTGACAAAACCTCGCCGTTTGAAACTGTTATAGCTTCGATACAAAATCTGTATTTCAAAACAACATTTACCCGCTAGTAGGCGCGTGGCGGGCCAGCTCCAGTTTCGGGTATCTCTGTTTTCTGCTTCCTCCTTCCCCGCGTGGTGCTCCGCTTACGGGAGCTTCAAACTTTCCCCTCATTTATTTAAATAGTTTTTTAATATATCCGTAACCTTTTCATTCCTTTTTGGCTCAAATCAAATGTTGTTGTTGTTGTCTATTGTTGTTGTCTGTCACTCTGCCGTTAAAGTGCCAACTATCGATCAAATTGTTTGATATCTCATTGTTTTTTACATTTTTCGTGTACGAATATGGCTTTCCTTACTGATATCTTGCCCAAATTTTCAATCCATTACGAGCATGTATGAAGTAATTTCTTTTAACTTTTATTTCCGAGAATTTACGGCCGCCATGTACTTGACCTTGTTCCAAGGCTTTGGTTACGAATTAGAAGCAAGAAAATGACCGTTCAGGCATGCGCCAAATACTCTCACGGGTGTTGAAATTATAGATAACAAACAACGTATAGACACATTGCACGTAAGAAAAAGTCCCAAGTTTTTCTAGGAGAGGGGGTTGCTCTTCATGCAAATTTTCTATACTTATTGGTTATTAGTAATTTCAACCCGCGAGGTGATTTTTGGGAGTATCTGGACGTCATTTTCCTCTTAATCGCAACCAATCCTTGGAACCAATGGTTCCAAGTACATGGACGGGCCGTATAAATTCTCGGAAATAAAAGTCCAAAAAAACAATGACTTACTTCTGTTCGTCGTAATGGAGTGAACTTTTGCAAAGGATTACTATAAGAAAACCGTCATATTGTACACGAAACATGATACAAAAAATGAATATGTCTAACAATTTTGATCGTTGTTTTTTTTTTCAGTCGGCTCGTGCCTAAATAATTGTAGACTACATTCAAAACCTTACCTTTCTGGGCTTGCAATAAATACTCACGACTCCACCAACAACACAATATCAAAACTTACCCGTCTCCCTCTGTGAGTTTTTCATAATCTTTCCCTCCCCTCCCCTGTTACCAAGTCGGTTTACCTCCTGGTCTGATACTAATTATGTGCATCTCCTCATTTCTGTCAAAGTGAAACCTCTTGAAACAAACGCAACAATGCACAATTACGTTGTGTCAGCGCCTGGTTTCATTATACCGGTCGCGCTAATCAGTCGTGTCGAACTCAGTTGATCAATTGATTTCGACCATTAGGCGACTGTATGCTCGACTGTTAGTCTCGACTGTAGCTCGAACTGTAGCTCGACTGTAGCTCAGACTGTAGCTCGACTGGAGCTCGACTGTAGCTCGACATGTAGCCTCGACTATAGGCTCGACTAGTAGCCTTCGGACTGTAGCCTCGACTGTAGCTGCCACGGCGGAATCACGTCCGCGCCCGGGTCGCGTTGGTCGCGACTGCAGCGTGTTCACGTATGCACGACTCTGGCGCGACTTCGGATTCAAACGTCGGAGCTACAGTCTCGCTAAGCTCGAACTTAATTGATCAATTGGAGTTCGACACGACGACAGCGCGAGCGTTTGAACCGGGCCTAATATAAGGGACTACACCAGAAGAGGGAGATTGCAGAACCAAAGCCGGGCGTGATGGTAATCATGCACTACATAAAGCAGCTGGGGGTGGCAGCAAGTAAAAATTACTTTATTCTCAGAGGAGGAAAGGTGGTCCGGGTCGAACGTCTGTCGATGACCAAAAATATGTGTTTGTCCACAATAACCTGGAAGTAAGCTAGGGTACATTGCAGGCTTCCAGGGGGGGTACGTGACCCCATTTTTTGGTATAGTTGGGGTCTGCCCTATCTGCGAAGGGTTTGAAACTATCCACCTGACCCTGTTTAGGGCCTAAAAAAAAACTATAAAATTCAAACCCAAACCCCTGTGTAGGGCGAACACCCTCTATTTTAGGACCCTGTTTAGGGCAAACGACAAGAATACACACTCTGTTTAGGACCAGTTAAATAAAAAATTTTATGACACGCCTGTTTAGGGCAGAACTCGCCTTGAAATTATATACCCTGTTCAGGCAGAGAGGCCAAAAATCCATACTCTTATCAGCGGCACGTCCCCGTATACGGCCATATAAGGAGTACCCTCCGGGATGCTCACGTACTGTATTTTCTTGAAAAACCTGTAGGGACCTCTTAGCAACCACGACCGGGCGACGCCATGGAAATACGTCACTTAAAAAGTGAATTCACGGTTCCTATAAACTAACTGCGCGATTATTCCAACACGTTTCAAATTTTGTCCAATGTGGCCGATATTGTCCAGGATCGTGAAATTGCAATAGGGAAGGAGATTCAAGGGGTCCAAACATGGTGCAGAGGGAGATCAAAAATTCACGTTTTTGTGTTCACGTTCTCCATAATACCGTGAATTTGGTCAATTTGAACGTTGTTGTTTTGCAGGGGACGGCTAAAGAAATGTACTAATATGCAAAACGCACAGTGTCAGAGCAGATTGAACCACTAGTAATTATTAACAATTAGTATATACCAAACCCGTGAATAGTGCTTTTTCGCGCGGTCTGATTGGCTAGCGACTCGGAGGTGAATAGTCTCTTGCTATTCATCCCCGAAGCAAAAACCAAATGGACCGTGCGTTTTGCTACTTTGATCAAAGCAGAAATTACTTCCATAAACGAGGCCGCGGGGCCCGTCAACTGTGTTATCAAAAATACCTGAAGCATATTTAGAGGTGAAAATGCATTGTAGCGAATTTTATTCGTGTCACTAAATAAACTGGCGCAAAAATGTTGTGCAACAATTTTTTGTTTACTAGGAGCCGCTAAGAATATAGAAAACAAAGAGTACAGAACGTGACAACCGCCTCAGTTGTAAATGATAGATTCTTTCGTGAACAGTTTTAAAAGTCTTTGAAGTGGTTCCAAACGGCTGTCCAGTCCAACACTAACATTTAAAATGCAATTCCCTACCTGACAATGCTGAATACAGCAGTGTCTTTTCAAAAAGCAACAGAAGTCCCTGCTGCCAACGATTTAGTTTTGTATTCGGATCGACTGAATCTCGGTCTCACTGCGTGCTAGAAAATTTTTCATGTTGCCGTATCATGATCTAGAACTGCCCAAATGCTGTGGCTTCTTCAAACTTTACTGCTTCTCCCCTCCGGGTTAAATTAAAAGGCAGTAACATCAGACGGTGGATTCAGTCCACATCAATGTGAGAAATTAATGAACTGGAATTAATACGAAAACTTCTTCGGTTAGGCAGCATCTTGACCATCTTGTTCAGTTTATAACGGCACTTTGCAGTCTTTTCGACATCAGTTTCTCATGGCAATAGAAACTGACAGTAACTTGTAAGTAAATTACGAAGAAAATAGAACTCGTCCGGCTTTTGGTCCATCAGTAAAAACGAAAAAATAATAATTTCCCCTTGAAATCGTCAAAGTCGCAACATACGAGACTATGTTTGATCGCCTGATGTTGTCGTCATGTGACTTTTCCTCCGCTGTCCTTGGTCGCGCGTAGGGTTCGCACTTTTAAAGGGATTTTCCGATTTTCGGCGGGTAACAATAACATCTATAGATTTTGGAGCTAGCTATTTCACTGGTTTTGGTATATACTAAAACAAATTATTCCGCCTCAGGCTTGTGAATATTGGTGAATATTCCCTGAGGGACGAAGTCGAGGGGAATATTCACCATATTCACGAAGCCTGAGGGGCGAAATAATTTGTTTTTATAATATACAAATCGGTCAAGGATAAAGGGTCGACTTTACTCCGAGGAAAAATTAGGGAGAAAAACGAAAATGTTCCGCCATTTTTTGCCCGAGACTAAAAAAATTAACTTCGCGGTATTTCAAATGAAGGTAGAGAGGGTATATTGCCTCTGAGACCATGAGCAGGATACGCAATCAAATTGCTCGATAAAATGCATTATCCTGATGGCTCTAGTATATTATAATACGTCTATAATTTTAATGCTGTGACGTTCTCGTTACCGTCGCCGTCGTGGTTTCTTAAGGTCGGTCCGCTAATTAATGGTCGGCAGTCAATCACCCCCCCCCCCCCCCCCCCCCCCCATCCAGCCCCTCTGGAGTAGACCCCTGTCTTTTGTCACCTCGTTCCGGCAAATATAAAGAAATGATGGTTAAAATATTTTAAACTTGGTAGACAACACAATGGAGAAAGATGTTATTCAGTCAGTTGACACAAGATACTCGGTAAATGAACTCAGGATTCTCCCAACAGGAGTCGAACCTATGACCTTCTGCCACAACCGGTCGGACGCTCTACCACTGAGCTCCCACCAGCTGTCTCCCGTAACTCAGTGCGTAGAGCGTCTGACCGGTGTGCAGAGGGTCATAGGTTCAACTCCTGTTGCGAGAACCCGGGAATTATTTTTCCCGAGCAGCTTGAATCACTGACTGAGTAATATCTTTCTAAAACAATTTCTCATGTGGAAGGTTTATCATAATTGGAAAATTAAAGAAACACTTCAGAAGTGAAGCACTCTTAAATCTGTCTAAAATTTCTCCCACTCTGAATTTCAAACATTATTATCGGTCGCATAACCAGTGTAGAAAGTTCATTATTTCGTAAATACGTTATGTAACCAGCCAAAATCTCCTCGGCCGAAAACTGTGGAAATAGAAATCGAAAGAAAGAAAATGGGGTGTGGCCACAATCTTAGAGAAATTAACTTACTTCTCAGTAATTAGTGATTCATCATATATGTCATTTGATGTCTTTAAATTTATCTACTCCACACAGATACACTTCATATTCTAGAGCAGAAGCAAATAATGTGTAGATAAATGTTTCAATTTAAAAGAAATACAAAATAAAGAGCTTAGCACACAGACATTTTTGAGCCACAGACCGGCAACCGTAATACGAATGTTATTGTTTTTTAGCGCGCTGAGGGAGTTGGAAAAGCCCTCGCTTTAGCTAAGCATTTACAACTTGACGGTACGGACGAACAAGTCGATATTACGGTTGCCTTCCCGTGGCCTCAAAAACGTCCTTTATTTAAGCTTCATCAAGACTCTACAGTCAACCTTCTCTAGTTGCATATCTCCGGGTTAAAAGCGACATTATCACCAGATCGTCATACAATTGCAATCACCTGCCACAGTGCCCTCGTGATGAACGCCAACACGATAACACCAGGTTCCTTGTCTTGTAATGAATCAAATTCCTCCTCAACCCCTGTGATTATAGAAAGGTTGTGTGTCGGAGATGCGTTGTGAAACTATACAAAATACATGATTTTAGCAAGAGATTCGAGACGGGATAGTTTTGTTTTAAAGCGAAGGAATACCATCGAAAGGTTTCACATACTTACAAGTTTTGTTCAGTGGATAAAATGAAAGTCATGATTCGATTTTCGGATATTTCAATCATCATAAAAACGTGTGGAGATTGCTATATTATTTCGTTAGATTCTTGTATTCTATCCTTTGCAATGTTTCTTCAACTCAGTTAAATTTTTGTACTAGACATCAAAAAAGAATGATTAATTCGAGTGTAAAATTTGACTTGTACGTTGAAAATCAACAGCGTGTGCTGATTTGTGAAAACAAAACCTGCAAGAAAAACTTAAGGTTATTGTTTGCTTATTCCAACCACAAGAAAAACGAAAATTAATAACAATTGGCGCTAAAAAAAAGAATCTTCGAAACCGCTTCAGTATTAATACTACCAGTCGAAAGCGCCGTAAGCGGACCCCATCGGGAACCTTTACCCCAACCTGAGCAGAAAAAGTGTCCCCACCGCAACGCGAGCTGGCCACTTACGGAAATGTGTAAATACAGGAGTTTGTATTGAGCTAAGAGTTCAAAACGGAAAGTTTTGTCAAAGTGTCGCGTCGTAAGTAGAGCTTGTCAGCTTACGAGAGGTGTCCGCTCAGAGAGCTTCGACTGTACAAGAGTTTGTATGAGCTAGTAGTTCAAAACGAAAGGTTTTGTCAAGGCCCCCCCCCCGGGCCGTAAGTCTGAGCTGTCACGACTTATGAGAGTGTTCGCTCAGAGAGCTTCGACATGTATTATACTAGTATCACAAATTTAAGTCCTTTACGCGAACCAAAAGTTAGGTGCAGGGCATCTATAAAACTAACTTTACGATAAACAAAAATATTTGCACTGTGTTAAAATCGAACGGAAAATCTTACTTTTGTACCACGAAATGTTCCGTTACGTTTATAGTTTAATGGAGGTAGAATAAAATACTAGAAGAATATAATTACACGATAGTTCAGGTTGGAATCGAAGGGTTTTATTAAATTGTCAAGTTATTAATAACTTTGATTTATATTTTCTTAATAACATAAAGGTCAAAATTAGGGTGATAAAAGACCTCGGGTAGTCTTCGGCACCATCTTCGAAGAGACTATCACATTCGAATAATCTTCCGGAGGGAGCCCTACGAGGTGGTGATTTTCGGAAAATTCGTCTGGAAGTCCTCGGAAAATCCTTGGGGAATCTTGGGGGAGTAATTTTGCCCCACTCCACAAACATTAACGAAAAATTGCCTCTTGTCTTGATTATTGAAAAAACTTAAACGGAGTGTTTTACGGTTCGGACGCTCATGTGCAACTTTATCCGTTTTAAAAAAAAACACTCACGTCTGACTTCTCGATACTTCAGTATCACATACTATAAAAAATTAGTCCAAGAAAAACGACAAATGCACCAAATATTCACAAAAACTTTCAACGGATTACCTGAGAATGTCGAACCCATTTGAATACCAGAATACTACCAGAATCAAATCCTTCGGGGCCACACTTTTATTCTGGTATTCAATGTCGACATCCTCGGAGAAATCCGTTTGAAATCTTTTTGTGAATTCTTGGTCATTCGTCGTTTTGCTTGGACTAGTTTATAGCATGTGATTACTGAAGTATCGACAATCCCCAGTTACGGGTGTGATTGGTTTTTTTTTAAACGGATGAGCTTGATAAGCCGGCACATCGCGCCGAACCGTGAAATACTCCCTTTAAAAAGTTTACAATTAAAAAAGCATTTCAAGCGCAT